AAGAGTCCTAGATATTGGTGGCCAAATTGGCATGACGTTATCAGCAAAAATGTGAAATCAGTTGGCTAGGAACAAAATTATTTTCCAGTTTGAAAAATACTTATCAATGAGTTTGACAGAATTCTCAAGAAGGGCCTTTTCAGAGAAAGATTTAGTTAGTTATTTTATTTTATTTTTTAATTTGATTTATATGCCGCCCTTCTCCGGAGACTCAGGGCGGCTTACAATGTGCTAAGCTAAGCAATAGCCTTCATCCTTTTGTATATTTATACAAAGTCAGCTTATTGCCCCCACAACTGTTAAAAGCTGGATCTAGCCCAATAACTCAAAGACAGACTTCAATTTTTTTTCTGTAGCTTTATTGTAGGTTTAATGGTACTGGAGGTCACTGACCTTGTACCTTTTCCCTTCAGGTATACATCTGGAATAAATGTGGACCTCGTGGTTGGAGCTATTATACCCAGGAGGAGGGGCAAAGAGGTAAGGAGTGGTTACAGGGGTTATGGGATATGTGGTCAGTTAACCCTTGCAGGGCCGGGTGATCAGGGAGATGTTGTAGTTAGACATTTACCATGACAAAACCCCCTCTAAATGTCTAACTGGGTACCTGGGGAAGTGGTTGTATACACACAGAGAATATACACGCACAGGCACGGATTACATGTAAACACGCATTTTAGACATGAGGTATGCATGCTGTTTATGTGGTAGGGGTTTAGTGAGAATATCTGCTGTCTGCTCCTCTGTGTCACAGTGTACTGCCTTAATGAAACCTATTTCTGAAAACTGCCTGACGTGTTTGTATTTAATGTCAATGTGCCTAGATCGCTGACCTATAGCATCGGCCTTTGAGATCTCTATCGCTGCCTTGTTGTCTTCGTGGATGACTATTGGGTATGAGGGTTCAGCCCAGATGTTGCAGAGCAGGTCATCGAACCACACTAAGTTGTTTGCGGCCTTGGATAGGCAAACGAATTCTGCTTCCGTAGTTGATGTGGCCACCAGTTTTTGCTTTCCAGTGTACCAATGGATGGGGCAATTGTTGAGTAGTAGCACATAGCCAGAGGTGCTTTTTCTGCACTCTATGTCCCCAGCCCAATCAGCGTCAGCATAGCAGATTAGCTTTGGTTTCTCGGATGTTTCTGGCTCTAGACAGAGTTGGGCATCCGCGCTGAATTTTAAGTATCTAAGTAGTCTTTTGATGGCGTTCCAGTGTGTTACTGTGGGTTTGCTTACATGTCTGGACAGCAGATTGACGGCCAAGGCGATGTCGGGCCTAGTCCAGTTGGATATATACAGCAGTGACCCTATCGTTGATCTATACAACTTATTGTCTGTGAAAGGTTCAGATTCCTCGTACATAGTCTTCAGGAACTCTGGTTGCATGGGGGTCTCGCTGGGTTTTGCTTCGGACATGTTGCATTTGGACAGCAGCTCGATGATTTTTTCTTTCTGGGAGAGGTGGAAACCCTTGTCGGTTTTTATCACTTGGACCCCTAGGTATTTATCGATCTTTCTAAGTGACTTTAGGGAGAAGTGGCTACCCAGCTCAGTGGCGAACTTGTCACATCTGTCCTTGTATTTGCTGATGTACAAGATGTCGTCCACGTAAATGAGCACACCTTCGAATGTGTTGTTTTCTCTCTTCGTGAAGAAGCATTTGTCGGCTGAGGTGGCCTCGAAGCCCATGGATCTGAGAGCTTTGGCTAGGCAGTCATACCACCTTTTGCCCGACTGCTTGAGCCCGTACAGGCTTTTGTTCAGCAGCCAGGTCTGGTTCTCACCCTCGTTGTACCCAGGCGGTGCTTTGACGTATATCTCTTTGTCCAACTTGGCGTGCAGGTACGCTGTTTGTACGTCGAATTGGAAAACTTCCAAGCCCAGGATGGTGGCCACCACCAGGGCGCTTTTGACACTCTCCGCCCTGACACGCCGAATATGTGTAAGTGTGCGATGTTGGTCTTTCTGTTGTATAGCATCTCGTATGGTGTCTTATTGATAGAGCTTGACCACAGTCTATTCAGGGTGTAATTGGCGTAGTGTAGTGCCTCTGACCAGAAATGCTGCCCCATCCCAGCATCCTCCAGAGCGCACCTCATCATGGTTTGCAACACTCCGTTCTTTCTCTCTGAGACCCCATTTTGGAAGGGGGAGAAAGGTGAAGAGGTGTAATGCGCTATGCCCTCTTCTCTCAGCCACCTCGTGAATTCCTTGGCCATGAATTCTGAGCCCCTGTCTGTCATTATTTGCCTTATTTTCATGTTATGCTGCATGTCTACTCTTCTGTGGAATTCTTTAAACCTTTGGAATACTTCGTTTTTGTGTCTGAGGGAGTAGACATACCCGTATCTGGTGTAGTCATCCACAGTCGTGAGGAAGAATCGCTTCCTATGCCCTACAGAGGGTTTCAATGGCCCTACCAAGTCCATATGCACCAATTGGAAGGGGGACTCTGTGGTTCGTTTGGATCCCCTGGGGATGGCCTTAACCTTGATCTTAGAATGCTTACAGATCGAACACTCCAAGTAGTTTTTGCAGTTCTTTACTTTGAGACCCTCGGTACATTCCGTCATTTTCTTTACAATGGGGAAACTTATGTGTCCCAGCCTCCTGTGGAGGAGGTGGGCGCAGTTATCATGCAATGGCTTCCCAATAGATACAGACTTGTTGGCATTCCCATGGCCACTCCCTGCCTCTTGCTGTACCCCCTCTATTTCTGGACACTCGTCTACTTTGTGGTTTGTGTTGGTATCAATGCCTTCTTCCTCCCTTGCGTTGGGTGTGAAGTAAGGAAGTCCCTCATGTATGGTTACCTTTCCTATCTCTTTCCCTTGCTTGATCAAGTGTGCCTTTCCATCTTTGAATTTTATCTCTATGTTTGTGTCCCGTGTCAGTTTTGTGATGGCTAGCACGTTGTGGGGTATCTCTGGCACGTACAGTACCCCTTTTAAATCCCCTATCTGTGTGATGTGTACGTTTCCTTTCCCCACCACTTTGACCTTGCTTTGGTTTGCCACCTTTATTTCTGAGTCTATTTCTGTGAGTGAGTCTAGCAGCTCTGGGTTACAAGTAGTGTGGCTTGTGGCCCCTGAGTCCAGGAGCCATGTGTTTCTCTCTGCCTTATGTTTGTCATTTGGGTCATTGTGCCTGATTCCGTACATGGAGCCAGAGTTACTGTCCCTGGAGTGGTCTCTGCACTCGTGGTGCTTCCTGGGGTTCGGTGACCACCCTCGCCCCCTTTCCTTTGGGTACCTGCGTTCAGGTGATCTCAAAAAGACATTTGGAAGGTGCCTCAGCCATCAAATATATTGCTTATACAGTTAATCCTCAATTTATAAGAGTTTGTTTAGTGACTGTTCGAAATTACAACGGCACTGAAAAAGAGGTTTTTCACACTTATGACCATTGCAGCATCCCCATGGTAACATGGTCAAAATTCAGACCTCGGCAAATTGACTCATATTTATGACGGCTGTGGTGTCTCTGGGGGTCATATAATCCAAACATCTGACAAGCAAAGCCCGTGGGGAAGCCAGTTTCACTTACCAACTGCAGTGATTCACTGTGGAAAGAAAGGTTGTAAAATAGGGCAAATTTCACTTCACCCTAGTCTCGCTTGGCAATAGAAATTTTGGGCTCAGTTGTGGTCATAAGTTGAGGACTACCTGTACTGTATTTTCTTTCATCTGAAGTAGATCCTACGCTTTGTTTATTTTTTTTAATCTTATTTTTTATTTATTATTTATTATTATTTTATTTTGTCGCATTTCTATGCTGCCCAACTCCCAAGGGACTGAAGGGGCTCCCAAGCCCTGAAGTGGGGTGGAAATTTTGATATTGTCATAAGACTAATAAGTTAACGAACTACTATTACTATCTACGGAGTGCTCAGGGTCCCCAAGCAGTCACCATCTTGATTTTTTTTTTCCCAGATGCTTCTTTGTAGTTTACCTCAGTGAAGATTCTCACCTGGAAAATCAACACAACTCAGGTGATCAGAAAGGCCCAACAGAGACTCCACTTCCTTAGAGTCTTGCAAAAAAAGTTAAGTGGAACAACAACTGATGACCTCCTTTTACCGGTCCACAATAGAAAGCGTCCTCAGTCAGCGCATTACGGTGTGGTATGCTGTCTTGACAGCCGCGGATAGAAAGATATTACGGAGTATGGTGAGCACAGCACAAAACATCGTGGGCTGTTCCCCTGATACCACTAGACGTGATCGCTAGGCCTTGCTGCCTTAGAAGAGTGAGGAAAATCCTCAGGGACAACTCACACCCTGGTCAGCGCTTCTTTATTCTCCTGCCGTTGGGAAGGAGATATAGATGCATAGGCAGCCGCACAAATAGGCTGAAGAACAGTTTTTATGCGTGACCTGTCAGGTTTTTGAACAGAAAATAACTTTGCAACAACATAGTACGATTGACTCGCGGGGCCAGTGCGATGTGCAATAGATTCACATGGTGCAGTAGGATTGTGTGTGTCAGCACTAGAGTAAATGCAGCTTGAAACCTGCAACAGGTTGAAACAGGTTTCGAGACCTCGAAACCTGACAGTGTGTTTGTTAGTAGGATTCACTGGGTTAGGGATTTTTCTTTTCTTTTACTGTCTTTCATTGTGAGTTGTATTGGGTTGGGGCCAGGGGCGAAATCCAGCAGGTTCTGACAGGTTCTGGAGAACCGGTAGTGGAAATTTTGAATAGTTTGGAGAACCGGCAAATACCACCTCTGGCTGGCCCCAGAGTGGGGTGGGAATGGAGATTTTGCAATATCCTTCCCCCAGGAGTGGAGTGGAAATGGAGATTTTGCAGTATCCTTCCCCTGCCCGCCCACCAAGCCACGCCCACAGAACCATTAGTAAAAAAAAAATTGAATTTCACCACTCGTGCACGAAGGTTGGCTCAGCCAATCTCATTGTACACATGTTGTACTCTGACACTAAAGGTTTTGAATTGAATTGAGAAACTAAGCCCCACTATTCCAACATAGATAAGCAAAGGACAACATATATCACATTTATTATTTTTTTTGTCTATACAGTTACATCGGATAGCCATTGTTAACACAGACTTTACTTGGCAAGTTTTGTAGAGAATTATTTCTATTTACACAGAGCATCTGAAGGGGTTGGGAAGAGAATATGTCTAGATGAACTCCAGTCCCTCGTCCGCCAGCTGTTGTTTGAGCCATGGAATGACTCTGAAGAGGTTGAGGTGAAAATCCCTGGAATAGGAGGTACGTTTCTTTGATTTGTCGGGTTCCTCACATATTGTACCATGGTGACCGCAGACATCAACCACACCCCAGCTAATCACGCCAACCTAAAGAAGGTAGAGATAGAAAAAACGTGAGAAACTCAAACCTGGGGTCTGACAGCTTTCATTGAAGGGAAACCAACATCAGATAAAAGGGGGGGGAAAAATCTTACGTGACTTTGCTTTACCAAAGTTGATGAAATTATGGCTGCAAACGGACATCTCCGTTCAATCAGAAGATTCTGTGATAATTTTTGGCATTGAGGGACATGCGGCCAGAGGTGGGCTGCTGGGGGTTCGCAGGGGTTCAGGAGAACCTCTAGCTAAGATTCTGTGCAGTTCGGAGAACCCTCAAATCCCACTCCTGGCTGGCCCTGCCCACCCCACCCCTCCCAGGAGTCCCCACGCGGCCTGTTTTGGATGCAGGTAAGTGCAGGGTGCACACGGAGGCTCGGAGAGGGCAAAAAACAGGCCTACCAGAAGTTCAGGAATGTGGGCCAGTTTCCAGCCTCCAGAGGGCTCCGGAGCCTGGGGAGGCAGTTTTTGCCCTCCCGGAGGCTCAAGGAAAGCTTCTGGAGTCCGGGGAGGGCAAACCCCCCCCCTGCCATGGTGCAGGAGGCCGACTAGGCCACATCCACCATGGCCACGCCCACCCAACAACCAGGCAGAGAACCCCTTGCTAAAATTTTTGAAGCCCACCCCTGCATGCAGCCAACTTACACATAGCAGAAAGATAATATGTCTATGGAGATTCTCAGTAATCGCCGTCATGGTTGTCCCGAAGGTGCTTTTTCAAGAGGCAACTGGACTTCGTCTTTTTCTTGAAGATGTTTCACTTCTCATCCTAGAAGCTTCTTCAGTTCATTTCTCATCCAAGAACTGGCAACGCTTCTTGGATGAGAAGCAAAACGTCTTTGAGGAAAAACAAAGAAAGTCCGGTTGCCTCTTGAAAAATCACCTTTGGGACAGAAAGATAAGAAGAGTTTCACCCCTGCAGTGATCTGAAGCTGACAGGTTTAATTGGGGCCATTCAGACACACTTGCTGTCGTCTAGCACAGTGGTCCCCAACCCCCGGTCCGCGGACCGGTGCCGGGCCGTGGAGTACCTGGCACCGGGCCGCGCAGCGGCCGGGGGACATGAACGCTGCAGCGCAAAGGCTCCTGGGCCGTGCGCAAAAGCTCCTGGGCCGTGCGCAATGGGCCGTGCGCAAAAGCTCCTGGGCCGTGCCCCCACCCCTGCGCGCGCTCAGCGGGCCGCGGCGATAAAAAGGTTGGGGACCACTGGTCTAGCAGTTTCGGTGAAATGACCACTCACCTGAATATAACGCAACTTTTTCTGAATAATGAGAGGACCACCAGAATCACCTGCAAGCCAAAAGGAAAAGGGATTTAATCAAGGGACTGAGTTGGGTATGGAGAGGTCAAATCTATATAACGCACAGGAATCCAACTCATGGGAGAATTTCAGACAGGCATCAACGTGTATCCAAATGAGTGGTGTAGTGGCCTAGGGGTGGAGCTCTCACCTCACAATCAGGAGGCCGTTAGTTCGATCCTAGGCAGATATTTCTCTCTCTGGGCACAATGAAAATATTTCTGCTGAACAAAACTCTGCATTGGCGACAGGAAGGGCATCTGGCCAGTAAATACTCTGCTAGCTCCATTCAGTAGCCCAGACTCCATCCAGTGAGGGATTATGGGCTCGTTAAAAGGAGATGATGATCAACATGTATCCAAATGTAGACGTCATTCAGTGATGTAAAAACTAGAGGAAGAGGGTGTACTGTGTTTCCCCAAAAATAAGACCCTATCTTATAGTTTTTTGAACCCTGAAATAAGTGCTTGGCCTTATTGCCATCTGCTCAAAAGTCTGATTGGGCTTATTATCAGGGGATGTCTTATTTTGGGGGAAACAGGGTATTAGAGAAGGGGTTGGGAACTTTGGCCCCTTTATGACCTGTGGACTTCGACTCCCATGCTGGCTCAGGAATTCTGGGAATTGAAGTCCACAGGTCATAAAGCGGCCATAGTTCCCCACCCCTGTATTAGCGTGACAGTTGTTAATGACCATATTTGATGGGTTATGAAGCTGCATAAAACAACTCTATGAGAATTCTCTGGGGCTTCTCGGTTTCATTATAATTGCTGAGGTTCTACCAGAAACAGTCCTCTCCAGATTTTCCTTAAAAAAACTAGATTATTATATGAATGTATTTGTCTATATCAGTGTTTCCCAACCTTGTCAACTTTAAGATGGGTGGATTTCAACTCCCAGAATTCCCCAGTTGATCATTCTGGGGGAATGCTGGCTGGGGAATTCTAGGAGTTGAAGCCTACCCAACGTGAAATTGACAAGACTGAGAAATGTTAATCTATATGATAGGAAGAACCATATATAACTTCTTACCATGAAAAGCTCTGTGCATATATAAATATTTCTCCCAAATTCTCTGTGCCTTATATTTCTCTGTGCCAATATTTCTCTGTGTAAGTCAAGCTGACCCATCCCTGTAATGTGATCCGATTTGAACCTTACCAGCTCGCATCAGAAAACTGTTTCCAAAGTCTAAAGATATAGGTAAAGATTTCCCCTGCTCAGTCATGTCCAACTCTAGAGCGTGATGCTCATCTCTGTTTCTTAGCCAAGGGAACTGGCGTTGTCCCAAGACATTTCCATCGCCATGTGGCTAGGATGACTATACTCCGAGGTGCACAGAACTGTTACCTTTCCACTGAAATGGTACCTATTTATCTACTCACATTTGCATGTTTTCAAACTGCTAGGCGGGCAGAAGCTGAATCAAGAATGGGAACTCACCCAATGCTCAGGTCTTGAACCTGGGCCGTCAGCTTTCCAGCTGACAAGCTTAGCATCTTTAACCGCTGAGCCATCATGCCCCTGTTTTCCGAAGTCTAGGGGGTGTAGTTATTGTCAACTTGCAAAGCTTTCAAGTTGCCATGAGCAGGAGGGAGAGAGAACTGAAGTGAATTCCATACATTTTTTCTGACCGCAATCAGGAGGGTGTTAGGTTTCACAGCCAGCCAAAGTGGGTAATTGGAGAATGTGATTTATGACATGGCCAGGGAGGAGGGGAGAGACAGGGTCATAGGGGGACGTAAATCTGCGTGGCTTCAGTCCTGACTGCATCCCAGTATTGCCGGAATGTTGCTCCAAATAAATCACTATATTTCCTTTGAAGTTTGGATCATGGCTCATGAATTAATTAGGGCATCTTTCGGAAACCTGACAGTTATATTAATGAACTGTTGCATTTACACTGAAAGACCCTGAAATATAGGGCTTCCTGCCTGAGCAGGGAGTTGGACTAGACCAGGGGTATCAAACTTGCGTCGTCAAGTTGTCGTCATGTGACGTATCGCAACTTCCCCCCCCTCGCTAAACTGGGGGTGTGCGTTGCCAGCATGTGACGCATCCAGCCACAGGTCGCAAGTTTGACACCCCTGGACTAGAAGATCTCCAAAGTCCTTTTCAGTTCTGTTATTCTGTTAATTCTGTTATATAGTACATTCAGAATGAAATATACAGTATTAATACCTGTTGTTGTGTTTATGTGAATGTTACTGTTGAAAAGTCCAATTTTCTGTTCCTAGGTGTCTCTCCATTATAACTAGGGTCCAGAGCCAAAAGGAACAGAAGGGCATTTTCTTAGATCCTTGAAAATATAGGATCTCCTTGCATTTATACCCTTAAACATTGTTAATAAATCATTCCCTTTCTTCCTGCAAATACTGATCTACTGTGACTTGCAAGATTGGTTGCCATGAAGCTTTGGAGGTAACTTGGTTTCGAGAGGCCTTAAAGGGATAGGAAACGAGGAAACAGCAGAGAGTACCATTATTCAGCTCACCTTTGCATGTATTGGGATCCAGCACAGGGTCCTGTCCCCCCGTGCAGAGAAAGTTATCAGTCACTACGTCTTTGATATTGGTAATGTTTGTGTAGAATTTGGCATTCCGAGCATCTTCTTCACAGGCTATTTTCTGGAAATGGAAAATGGAAATGGAGAAAATTGAACATATCATTAAAGATGATCATTAAGGGACAATACATAATCATTACATTTAGCCATAGTTCATTGGAGTGGGGATTGTTTGAATGCAGTCTTTAATAAGTAACAGTTTAGGGTAAGTCTCAACTCATGACATTGGTGCAGCCATCTTGCCACTGTCTCCTCTTTCCTGTTTTCAAGAGATGCTACAAGGTGCCCCATATTCTCTATTCAGCTCACCCAGTGGTGGGTTTCAGAATTTTTTACTACCGGTTCTGTGGGTGTGGCTTGGTGGGTGTAGCAAGGCTTTGTGGGTGTGGCAGGGGAAGAATACTGTAAAATCTCCATTCCGTCCCCAATCCAGGGGAAGATTACTGCAAAATCCCCATTTCTTCCCAATCAGCTGGGACTTGGGAGGCAGAGAATAGATGGGGGCGGGGCCAGTCAGAATTTTTACTACCGGTTCTCCGAACTACTCAAAATGTCCACTACCGGTTCTCCAGAACTGGTCAGAATCTGCTGAAACCCACCTCTGAGCTCACCCAAATAACAGTCAATATGCCAGAGTGACAGCTACATTAAAATCCTGATCCATCAAAGCCTAATTTTCAGCTTTGAAGAATTTGGAGAAATTATAAAAGGACATTCTATAACTCAGCCCGTTTGGGACAGATTTACCATTTTAGTGAAAATTAGGTTCATATTATTTATTTATTTTTTGAATACAATAGAATTCTTTATTGGCCAAGTGCGACTGGACACACAAGGTATTTGTAGGTCAAATTGATGTGTCCATTAGGAATACTGGGGAAAAAAAAACACCTCACTACTTAGCAAAGTGGTATAATTCAGCAAAAGGAGTCTCAAGAAAAGAGTTTTTTTTTTTTAAAAAAGTCAGCTCTAATCAGAGCGTTGTGATTGTCATTTTGACTTTTTTGATTCCCTTCCCAGCAAATAGCTATCCTCAGACAAGGTAAAATCTTGACCATTTGACCCCCGGCTGCAGGTACCCCTTGAAGGGAATATATTTTTTCCCCATAAAAAATATAGACATCCTCTAAAATCAAGATCAGGATTTTTCCTTTCTTTGGAACTCTTTTATCTATATACAAGATTCAGTCACCCTGGAAATAGATGTTATCCTAACTTGATAATTATTTAGTTCCAGAAACACCCTGGAAGACATTTATTTGAGATTTTATTCAGGTGTGTGTGTGTGTGTGTGTGTGTGCGCGCATCCGTGTGTACATCTCTCTCTGTGTGTGAATATGCTCTTGGTATTAGCTGCCAGGGTCATATATGTAAAACAAACAGTCATATAAATTATCTACATTTATTATTAATTTAATGTATTCAATTGAGGCGTTGGCTGAATCCAAAGAAAAGGAAGGAAGGAAAGGGAAGGGAAGGGAAGGGAAGGGAGGGAAGGAAGGAAGGAAGGAAGGAAGGAAGGAAGGAAAGAAAGAAAGAAAGAAAGAAAAGAAAGAAAGAAAGAAAAGAAGGGGGAAGGAAGGAAGGAAAGAAAGAAAGAAAAGAAGGGGAAGGAAGGAAAAGGAGGGAGGGAGGGAGGGAGGGAGGGAGGAAGGAAGGAAGGAAGGCCTCCTATATTGGAGTCCTCAGGTGTTAGATTTGACTTAAGGGAGCCTCACTCCACCTAATCTTGTTAGAGTTTCTTGCTCAAAGATCTTACCTTGTCACTATTCTTGACTTGAACATGTCTGCGAACTAGCCCATTGTTGTCTTGATTTTTGTACTTGCAGTCACTTACAAAAAAAGAACGAATGTTTCCCACAGGTAGCAGCTCATTCTCTGTTAAACCAAACAATACGGAAAGAGCTTAATGAACTGCCAAAGGAAGTTCCTTCCTTTGGAAGGAAGAGGAACATCTAGTGAGGAGAACAAAGGAATAGGGGAAGATGCTGGAAGAATCAGCAATCCCATGGACCAGTGATGGCCAGGGTTTCAAGCAAGTTTGCCCCAAGTCCAATTCATTCATGAACGAGATCGAATCCATCTAGGAAACAGTGCAACATGTTACACGAGGGATGTAAAGAAATTCAGAGAACAGGTTCAAAGAAAGAGCCATAAAGGAATTCTGGGAGTTGAAGTTCACAAAACTTGCCAAGGTTGAGAAATGTTACTTTGGGAGAAGATTCGGTGCCTAGGGAACCTACTATCCTTCTGCCCCATGTTGGTTACTTTTAAAACATAAACAATCCCCTTACCATGATCTCGGCATGTGGTTGTTGCAAGGGATTTCCTCAGAGCTCGGGTTGTTCCTTGTGTACACGGTAAACAAATTGGCCTGCGGGGGAGAACACAGAACATAGAATAATGGAAGGAACTTCAGGGGTCTTCTAGTCCAACCTCCTGCTTGAGCAGAAGGCCCTAGTCAGGGGTTCCCAATCCCCAGTCCATGGACCGGCACTGGTCCGCAGCATGCCAGCAACCAGGCCATGCAACCAACCGTACTCCGAGGTACGGAGGATCCCGGATCTGCGCACTTTCTGCCGTGCTCTTAAGACCCTCCTATTCCAGCAAGCCAGCCTGGCCTAATTTTTTCCCCTTTCTTTTAAATTTTAAATTGAAATTTTAATTTGTTTTAAATTATTGGGATTTTTATTTGTCTTGGGCTAAATTATTTAATTTGGTTTTAATTATGTTTTTAACTTTTGTATTTATGTATTTATTTTGTGCCTGTTCACCGCCCTGAGTCCTTCGGGAGTAGGCCGGTATATAAATTTAATAAAACAAACAAAACAAACAATAAAACATGCTAACAAGCGAAGCCCCATCTGCAGGATGCAGGGAGCACACAAAATCACACCCCCTCCAGTGTGTGAAAAAAACTTTCTCCACAGAAACAGTCCCTGCTGCCCAAAAAGTTGTGGGCCGCTGCCCTGTATCATTTCAGACACGTGGTTGTCCAGTCTCTTGTTGAAAGCCTTCAGTGATGGAGCACCCACCACTTCTGAAGGCAGTCAAGAAGTGCAAGGAGACATCAACCGAGCCTCATTATGACTCTTGAGTTTCTACCCAGATCTTTTTAAATAGAATTATTCCTCCCTGGGGACGATAATTCTTTCATGTATAAATTATTTTCAAACTAAAATAAAACTGGAAGTCCCAGGCTGGCTGAGGAAACCCTGGAGTCAAAGTCCACACCCCTTAAAAGTTCCCCAGTTTGGAAAAACACTGATTTAAGACATATTATCTTCTTTTAATGACCCCATAATCCCTTGCGGAGTGGAGTCTAGGCAACTGAATGGAGCTGAGCATTTACTGGCCGGATGGCCTTCCTGTCGCCAATGCAGAGATTTTTTTTCAGCAGATATATTCTCATTGTACCAGTGGTGGGATTCAGCCGGTTCGTGCGGGTTCACCAGAATCGATAGCTAACTTTTCGTGTAGTTATCCTCCTCCCCCCGCCCCTCCAGATCAATTCGGCGTGCATTGCTCATCTTATACACAGGATCGTTTGGAAGAGAGGCTGTGCTTGAAAAGATATGAAGATGGGCTACCCTGTTTTGGTGGAGAGAGAGGCATTGCTTGGGCTTGTTTCGTAGGATGGAAGCCTTCCATGTTGTGCTTATTTCGAAGGCAGGTGAGCAGCTGGGCGAGGTGAGCTGCCCAGCAAGGAGAGGACGGGCAAGGCGAGCTGCCCAGTGAGGAGAGACTGGGCGAGGAGAGGCTGGGAGGGGAGGGGCGAGGAGAGAGGCCGGGTAAGGTGAGGCAGCCCTCGACATGAGTTATGTCAAGTTGGCCACGCCCACCCAGTGACACGTCCACCCAGCCAATAATTAGGGCAGAGAACCAGTTGTTAAATTATTTGAATCCCACCACTGCACTGTGCTCAGAGAGATAAATATCTGCTTCTACCTAGGATCAAACTCACAACCTCCTGATTGGGAGGCGAGAACTCCACCTCTAGGCCACCGCACACACTCACTGATTTAAGACATATCGTCCCATCAATTTGCCTTTTAAATATGAAACAACCAGCTCATCCTTGATAATAAAAGTCTGAGATTAAAAAAACACTACGCACTTTGTACAACTAAATCAGAACCAATGTCTTGATTCCAATGTTCCTTTGAGACAGAATTGAAAGTGCTCTGCAATTTATCTCTCCCTCTCCCTGCGAGATCTCACCTTGCATAGAAACTGAATTCAACTTTTTTCTCAAGCTTTATCAGGGCGACGTCATAATCATAGAATTCACAGATTCCGCGATTTTTTAGCTTTCCGATGTTGTATTGTGGGTGGAGTTGAACGGCAGCCACGGGATACTCTTTCTTGTCTAGGAAACAGGAAAGTAAAACATAGACTTTCTGCTGTCTTGGGTTGCATAGCTTATCGCCACATGGTGGGATCATCAGCTGACTCTGCCCATTTGGTTACTCTGAAACTGAAGCCCAGGCATGTTTCTTTCCTGGCCAGGTGACCACGCTACCAGCTTCCTCTCAAAAGATAATTGTGCTTACTGCTTACCAATTGTGACTCTGATCTGGTCGGCCGTATCGTCGATAGTGAAACAGTGAGCTGCTGTCAAGATAAAATACTCAGAAACGATGGTTCCTTTGCAGTTGTCAAACCCTGTCCCTCCAGTACGCTGTGATCGGAAAAGAAAAATCACCACGAGTAAGTCACAAAAGCATCCTACATAGTTTTCCCTGGAGATAATTCCCACTACATTCAATAGGATTTATTCGCTATTCAACGTTAACTGAAGAATTTGTAATATTACCATAGCAATAGCACTTAGAATTTGCAGTATATATTGCCCCATAGTGACTTACAACAGGGGTTTCCCACCTGTGGGCCCGTAACCCACTACTGGGCTGTGGCCTATTCACAACTGGGCCGCATGAGCGGCAGGCACTATCACTCACAACTCCATTCATGTAAGCGGCAGGCGTGTATACCACAAATGGGGCTGCGGGCACTGGCACCCGCTGCGACCACGTATGGCGCTGTGAGAGCCTCCCCTCCCCCCTCCATGCCAGGCTGCCAACCCAGAAAGGTTGGTGAACACTGCTTTACGACTCTCGGGATGGTCTACAACATCAGTATGTTGCCCCAACAATCTGGGTCCTTATTTTACCGACTTTGGAAGGATGGAAGGCTGAGTCGACCTTGAGTTGGTCACGATCGAACTCCTGGCAGTGGGCAGAGTTAGACTGCAATACTGCATTCTAACCACTGCACCACCATCTTCCTATAAGTGATATTAGATAATCCTAGTTCTTAGCCTTAGGTCCACCTGTACTGTACTCCATACTGGGCAATGATTGCTCTCTAAGAGTTGCAATCAACTACAACAGTTCTGCCTTTTCCCCACTTTTTCCAGGTCCTTGGATAATAACAAATAAAAGATAATATTTGTAGCTCAGAGTTGAAATGAGGGGTCCTTGGTGCTCTCTGAGCTGGATTGTTTTCTAGCACTTGGCACTTACCGTGCGTGTTTCCCCGAGGTAACCATCAAATTTTGCCAATCCGATTATCTGTCTAAAATACACACAAAAGCGTACCTCGCCACTCTAATTTGGCACCAAAACAATGAGAGAGAGCACCCATCATCTACAGATGGCTATTATCATCTTATCATCTGGAGCATTTATTTTTCTACCTCAGTCTGTAACACTCCTTTTAGCCATTCAGGAATCCTATAGGGATGCCGTCTGATTGGTGGGGTTTCCCCTGGCTCTTTCTTGTGTTTAACTAGAAGCGTGGTTAGAATGCAGTATTGCAAGCTAACTCTGCTCACTGCCAGAAGTTCGATCCTGACTGGCTCAAGGTTGATTCAGCTTTCCATCCTTCCGAGATCGATAAAATGAGGACCCAGATTATTAGGAGCTTCTACCAAGGCCCTCTATATATATGAGTGTGTGTGTGTATTTCAATATACCATGTTTTCCCGAAAATAAGACCCTGTCTTATATTTTTTTGAACTCTGAAATAAGCACTTGGTCTTATTGCCATGCGCTCAAAAGCCCGATTGGGCTTATTTTTTTTTTTATTTTTTTTATTTTTTTTTAATTTGATTTATATGCCGCCCTTCTCCGAAGACTCAGGGCGGCTTACAATGTGCTCAGCAATATTATCAGGGGATGTCTTATTTTGGGGGAAACAGGGTAGATGGTTCTTTGGGCCTACTTGTAGGCACTTGTGTTCTCTGTGTGTGTGGGAGTAGATGCCGAACAAAGTGACAGGAAATAACAATCTCTTAGACCAGGGGTGTCAAACTCAACCCAGCGGCCTGTGATGTGGTCGGATCTGGCCCACAGGGCCGCCCTGAAGTAAGTAAGGGGCCAGCTTGCATCACTTCAGACTAGTCTACCCATGTCACTTTGGCCCGGTCTACTTGCAATGCTTCAGCCCGGTCTACCCAATGCAAATAGGAAACATGCCAACAGTTTGGGGAGTGGCAGCAGGCTGGCCATACCCACCCAGTCCGCCACGCCCAGTGAGTGATGTCAAGCTGGCCAGCCCACCCTCCCCCCCAGTCGGCTCTCCTACCACCCACCCACCCTGAGGTCAAGCACAGCCAGGGATGAAATCCAGCAGATTCTGGAGAACTGGTAGCAGAAATTTTGAGTAGTTTGGAGAACCGATAATGGAAATTTTGAATAGTTTGGAAAACCGGCAGATACCACCTCTGGCTGGCCCCAGAGTGGGGTGGGAATGAAGATTTTGCAGTATCCTTCCCCTGCCACGCCCACCAAGCCACGCCCACAGAACCGGTAATTTTTAAAAAATTGAATTTCATCACTGAGCACAGTCCTGATGCGGCCTTCAATGAAATTGAGTTTGACATCCCTGTCTTAGACCAAAAGCAAACACAATTACAGACAAAGAGAGAAGATAAAATAAATCGTTAACTCTCTTTCTCTCTCTGTATAGCAATGATCCCTGGTGATTGGTAAGTCATCAGCTATTGAGTTAATGCCACTGAATTTGCATCTCCAATAAAAATAATGTCAACATCAAGAAAAATCCCCATGCCACTCTATTGTACATTGATTATATTTTATCCAAGTATGAGCACTTGAGGAAGGACTTTGAAAAATGCAGCATGTCCCGAGGATAGCTAATCAAAGGAAACCCAGAGGAGGAATGGGTATAATATCTTGGAGAAAAAACGAGTAGTCCTTGACTTACAACAGTTCATTTTGTGACTGTTCAAAGTTACAACGGCACTGAAAAAGGTGCTTTATGACCATTTTTCATACTTATGACCATGGCAGCATCCCCATGGTCACAAGAGCAAACATTCAGACACTTGGTAACTGACTCCTATTTATGACGTGAATCTAGCATCTCCATTGAGTTTGCTTGTCATAAGGTCGCAAAAGGGGGGATCGCATGACCCTGGGACACTGCAACCGTCATAAATAGGAGTCAGTTGTCCACATTTAGATCCCGTGGCCATAGGGATGCTGCAATAGTTCGTAAGTATGAAAAAATGGTCATAAGTCATTTTTTTTTCCCAGTGCCGTCGTAACTTTGAACGGTCACTAAATGAACTGTTGTAAGTCGAGGATGACCTGTATCACTAAAGAAAGCGTTCTTCTCCAAAGGCCCCTCTTACCCTGATGGTGATCTTGGTATTCCAGGGATTCTTCATTTGATCTTCTGCTTTGTGTTCTCTTGCCAAGCCACACATAGACAAAGCTTCACTTTCATCTGGAAAGAGAGAGGCACTTTTCTTAGACCTTTGAATTTTCTACAAAAGCTGAAGATCTAATGACCTGGAGGCTAGGCAAGACACTATGACTCAAGGATTCCTTGAAAAGGATAAGAAGGGTAAATAGGAAAATTAGGTGGCTATGGAAAGTCGCACTCCACAGAAAAATGGAAGTGGGGTAAATTCTGGAAAGATGGGTCCTTAAATAGGGTGGCTCAGTGGTTAAGATGCTGGGCTTGTCGGTGTGATGTCTTCCTTGGACAACTCCTCTGACTCTTCCTCGGAGGCTGGCTAGAGGGAGGACAAGCTCATTCCTGGCACGTCAGGAACTGGGTTAATTAATGACTCTGAACTGCCGGCCGAAAGAGATTTATGAGGGGCTTCAGCTGGGGACAGTTTGCAGGTGAGTGAAGAGGAGGAGGAGGAGCTGCTTTCCATGGTGGATCCGAAAGCATACAGGACAGAGAAAAGACAAGACCAAAGGAGATCTGTCAGATTACTCAGGAGAAGGCCCTGCCTGTCTTGATGGGCTGCATTGGAAAGCTATTTATCATGGCAGGCAGAGGGAGGCGTTGCTGGGAACAACGTATTTGGTTTATGACTGTGTGTTTGTTCGTGCTTCCTACTTGACTTAGAAACTCTGAACTTCTCTTGCCGAGTGAGCTCTCATGGATGTATTTTCAGTTTTGCCTGATGGCTTTAAGTTTGTTTGGTGGACTTACTTGTTGGGGTAACTTTCTATTGTTTTATGGACTATTGGCCATTGCCTTGTGGACTAATCTTGGCCGGCTTGTGGCTGGATTTATTTGGGAGAAGTCTGAGGCTGGGTGAAGGGAACTGCTGGGGAACTTTAATAAACTCTAAAAAACACATGTGTATGTGAATGAGTGGGGCAGCACAGTTGGCTGGAAAGCTGACAGCTCAGGTTCAAGACCCCAGCTCCATGCAACCAGGTGAGTTCCCATCCTCATCCCAGCTCCTGCAACTTAGCAGTCCAAAAGCCTGTAAATGTGAGTAGATCAATAGGTACCACTTTGGTGGGAAGATAACAACGTTCTGTGATGTCATGCCGACCACATGACCATGGAAATATCTTCGGACAGCACTGGCTCAATGGCCTTGAAATGGAGATGAGTACTGTCCCCTATAGTCGGCAACAACTAGCGGAGTAAAATCTGCAGGGTCCCGAAACTCAGTAGTTCTCCGAGAAGGATTACAAGCCCTATAGAAGCATGCAAACAAATCAACAAAAGGTAGGTTGAAATTACCAATCATTTTATCAAAGGCTTCTTGCAGGTCTCCAAGTTTCTTCATTATGAAGAAGTGCTCCTCGCCAGGTTTCTTTGATGCCAAAGCATTCATGCTTTCCTTGTTGATTTGATTTCCAACAGCAAAGACATAAACATCTGCAAGCAAGCATGGATAGGGACATAGGTTGGGAGGGAAGGACTAATGTTCCTGCCCAAAAAAAGTCAACAGTAGTTTGTAGTGGTGAGTCCTTAATAAAGTACAGCATTGCAATTGTTGTCAGTCTTCCTGGCTAAGACTAGGCTATCCATCAAAAATCTCCCGACATTTCATTGTGACATTTCACCGTCTAATTTTGGCAGAAAACGCCCAAACCAGCTGGATTAGATGAGGATTTGTTTTACTGCAGGCAAAAATAAAGCCACGCACAACAGTTTGCCCACTGCCGTTTTCAAAGATGCAAATTACCTATCTTTGTATGGGTTTAAACCAGTGGTGGTATTCAACCGGTTCGATCCGGTTCGAGCAAACCAGTAGCGGCAGCTGCAGGAGCCTCCGCCCACCCCCCCCGGACGTCATCACGTCCTGTTTTTGATCCTCTGTGCATGCGCGGAAGCTTCTTACATTTGCGAACCAGTAGCGAAGGTAAGTGAATAACAACCCTGGTTTAAACCCATAGTTTCTTCCTTCTAAACTTCTGAATTGACTGACAGTAGTCAGCACATTTGGTGGCCTTGAAGCCAAGTGGTTGTTGATCCATTATGTTCACACCTAGTCTGGAAACTGCTCGTTTCGTATTCAATACCTACCAGTGCTGGGTTGCCCCCGGTAGTAAAACTCAATGACCCAGCACTACATTTTTTAAACAAGGCAGTTATATGTGTTCTTAATCAACAGAAAAGTAGGAACCCTCTTGAAGGATCAGGGATAAATTTGCTTAGATCTCCACTGAATGTTAACTTAATGAAGTTTCTTAACCAAAATTTATATGTGCGAACCAACGTTCTTCAAATGCCATTTGAAATCTGCAGTTCACCAGCAATTAAAAAAATGCATTTTAGGACAAAGATCCATACAAAAGTTATGTATTTGCAAGAGTAATGTACGCACTGAATTGTGTACAAACTGCAGATTCTAAACTCGTCCGTTAGTTCATTCCACTCTAACAATGTGTGTTTGTGTGTCTGTGTGTTCTGTGTATTACTGCAAAATACTTTATATGGGACTGCTTTTGAAGACTATCAGAAACTTAACTGACACATCTATATTATAGATTTACATCAGATAGACATCTTGCTTTTAACCTTTAAAATCTTACGTATAGTTCAACAAATTTTGGTCCGGTTGCCATGATTCAATCTTTTAGAGACCTTCGGCCTAGATGATTTGAGTCTTCCTTTGACAGATTACAATATATTTGAGGGAGAAACTCCTGAAGTTAGTGTGGCAAGAATTGGTACATTCCAATCACTCTCTGACTCTCTGCTCTCTGTGTGTGTGTATATGTAAGAAGACCAGTGCCATGGTGATTGCAAAGTTGGCAGCAAATAATATTTATGCAATAATTTCAAACAGTTGTAAGAACTTTGCTACTTTAAAACAGTTCTACTGAGCATATGGCATCTCAAGTTTTAATTCTGATCAGCTTCTAGGAGTTGAACACAGTGGTACTGTACATAATACAACCAAAAAATGAATAATCACACTTGATAAATCACTTGATATATCAAATCAAATGTGGCCCACAATCCTTGCATGATGCCTGTAAATTCTAGGACCATAAGTACCACCCAATTATTTGTTCCTTCTTCTTTCAATAATCCCATTCCCCTGGCACAGGGGTCAGCAACCTGTGGCTCTGGAGCCGCATGTGGCTCTTTCACCCCTCTGCTGCGGCTCCCTGTCACTCAAATATGTGTCACCACCACCAATGTGTGACACCTGCTGGCACACAATTTATTGTGCTTTTCAACCCCCGGTAGGCCAACCATGGATAAATCCAGGAAAAGAAAAGTTTCAGAAGAAAACAGAAAGTTTAATTCAACTACATATGCTGATTTTTTGGCTGCTCAAGAAAGAGTCAGGCATGGGAAGGGTTTTGTGGCTCCTGGTGTTTTCTTTTCTGTGAGAAATAGGTCCAAATGGCTCTTTGAGTGTTTAAAGTTGCAGACCCCTACCCTGGCAGATACAGTACATGCTTCCTCAGGGCAAATGTACTCTCTTCAGCTTGTTTGCTAATCTCAATGGATGTTATATTCAACCAGGAACACAAAAATTGCTTTTGTGATGTCGCTTACTCTCTATTGTCCCTTGGGTTAAAATGCCAAGAAGTCAATCAGACACTCACAGAATTTAAAACACTGGATCTGTAATTTCTGATATTGACCTATAATATTGGCAGAAAGTCTTATCACAGGCAAATGAGGCCAAACATTGTGAAATTCTGGTTTAAAGTATTTTTCTCCCCATTTCTTTCCTGATGTGTAGATCGTCAGAACTTACCTAAGAATTCATTGCGAGAATTGGTGCCCAATGTCTTAATCCTAAGGAATTCCTTAATATTTTTCATGACAGGAAGTGGATCCCCGCCCATGTTGTAGCGACCTAAAAATTGAAAGTAGCAGTTACTATATGGTAGAAGTAATCAAGTTGCCTCTCAAAACTCTGACTGTGGTCCCACAGCTCTTCCAAAGTTTCTGTGAAATTATAGAAATAATTCACTTCGTTCAACTCAAATGAAATTGAATCACTGAAATAAAAGTAGATTTCCCCCAGACCCATTAATTTTTTGATATGCCATTTAAAGACTAAGTAGTGATCTTGATCCAAAAAGGGTTTGACTTCCCCCAAGTTTCTGTGCTGAACACCAGGGCAATCTTTTTCTCCTACTGACAATCAGCTGATTTTGCTGCCAAAGCTGGCTTTTCAGTGGTGCGACTCCTAGAGTTGAATTGGAACATCTAGGAATGATCCAAGATGATCCTTGGAAAGCATGGGAAGAGGAATCTTGAGGATTGCAATTCCTGGTAGGAGCAGCTGGAGAGACAGGTCTCCATCTTTTCCTCTCAGCTGATTGAACTTTTTAGGCATGCATTAACTACACTCATTGATGTTTCTCTTTTAATTTGCTTTTTATTTTCAAAAGTTAACTGATTGGTCAAATGCTGATTTATACTAACCCCATACTGGATTTTAACATGATTTTTTGTATGTATGTGTTTTCTTTGTTCTAAAGAATGCTTTTACCTACAAGTTCAAATGGGGAAGGCTAAAAGAAATATGGACCTTACAGACTTAGAGTTGACTGGTTTGAAGATTGATGGAGATTGGAGATGGACTTTTTTTTTTTTTTGCTTTAATTTATATGCTGCCCTTCTCCGGAGACTCAGGGCGGCTTACAATGTGTTAAGCAATAGCCTTCATATTTTGTATATTTATAAAAAGTCAGCTTATTGCCCCCGCAATCTGGGTCCTCATTTCACCTACCTTTGAAAGGATGGAAGGCTGAGTCAACCTTGAGCCTGGTGAGATTTGAACTTGTAGCAATTGCAAGCAGCAGATGTTAATAACAGTGCTTTAGTCCACTGTACTACAGGCTCTATAATAAGTATGTACTACAGACTTATTATATCCAATTGGAAAATAATTTTGACAGGGCTTTTTTGGGAAGATAGATCGACTTTGGAGAATGGACTTACTATATTTAATCAGACAACAACTGATAAGAGCCCTGGTGGCGCAGCAGACTAAAGCACTGTTATTAACATCAGCTGCCTGCAATTACTGCAAGTTTAAATCTTACCAGGCTCAAGGTTGACTCAGCCTTCCATCCTTTCTAAGGTAGGTAAAATGAGGACCCAGTTTGTGGGGGCAATAAGCTGACTTTGTATAAATATACAAAATATGAAGGCTATTGCTTAACACATTGTAAGCCGCCCTGAGTCTCCGGAGAAGGGCAGCATATAAATCAAATAAAAAAAAAGTTATTAGGGAACAAATCAGGATATTTGATATTCATCCAGAATTGATCAGAGATAACTGTTGTGGTGATTTGGAAAAGATAAAGACATCTTGGTAGACTTTCTGCAAGTTAATTACAATGATAGATTGTTAACAGATTTTGAAAGTTTAATTTTTCTGTTGCTTTGCCTGTTAACTGTTCTTAATATAGTAGATAGCTGACAGGTCAAATATATTGAAAATAGAGGTAGAATTTTAAAAATGTGGGGCTCAGTTTGCAAGAGAGGGAGAAACTAACATTGTTACAATCTATTTATCAGTATTCAACTAAGTTAGATGATATATATGTGTTTGTTTGCGGTTTTTGTTCTTTTTCATGCAGATTTTTAAATTCTCTTGTTTTTGTACAATTTTTTAGATGTAATGTTTTGAATAAAAAAGGTTATTTAGAAAGTGTTGTGTGGGTTTACACACATAGTAAGAGGTTTGAACCTGTGGATTCTGGATTCTGGAAGATGATGGAGAAAAGGATAAAAATATAAAGCAACTTTTCCTGAATATACATATTAAGAAAAAAAAATTGAGCCCTAAATTTCATTCAAATTTCAGAGTAAGGAATTATATTGGGTAAATAAATAGCATAAAGGTTCTTTCCAACAAATATTAGAGTCGCTGCCCTATTAAATATTAAAAAGTAGCTGCAAAAAATTAAAGCTTTCATGCATGTGTTCGTTTTCCTCACCGTCACTCAGGAGGATGATCACATGGCGTGTGGAATTGGAAACAGGAGGAGGAATTAATCCACGTCTCTTCTCATCAGCTTCCTGAGTAATCATCATTTCATAGACCGCTGTCAAGGCTTTCTTGATGTTGGTTCCTGGCTTTATCTTATGCTCTAAAGAGAAAAAAAAGAAGAGATACAAGTAGAAAAATGAAACAATTATTTGCAGTTGGCTAGCCACGGCAAATCTCATTTGCTATTCAGGCTACAGCTGCAGCAGCAATATAACCTAACTGATCTTCGGATCTCCCTTCAGAAAAATATCAACAGCTGTATTCATTCTTCAGTATTGAATGTTTCTCAGTCTAAAGAATTCCTTAAGCATTTTCAATGTATATTGATACTTCCTAGTTGATAGAATGCAGGCAATGCTACTTTGGCGGGTACTATACAGGTAGTATAAAGATAAAGGTCAGTGGTGGGTTGCTACCGGTAGCAGCGGCGGTGGGAGGCTTCGCCCACCCGCCCGGATGTCATCAAATATGCTCTGCGCATGTGCAGAAGTGGGGTGCGCGTGAGCGAACCAGTAGCAAAGGTAAGTGAAACCCACCCCTGGTAAAGGTAAAGGTTCCCTTCGCACATATGTACTAGTCGTTCCCCAACTCATCTCCGTTTCAAAGCTGAAGAGCCAGCGCTGTCCGAAGACGTCTCCGTGGTCATGTGGCCGGCACGACTAAACGGCAAAGGCTCACGGAACGCTGTTACCTTCCCACCAAAGGTGGCCCCTATTTTTCTACTTGCATTTTTTACGTGCTTTCGAACTGCTAGGTTGGCAGAAGCTGGGACAAGTAACGGGAGCTCACCCTGTTACACAGCACTAGGGATTTGAACCGCTGAACTGCCGACCTTTCGATCGACAAGCATCTTAGCCACTGAGCCATCGTGTCCCTTTTATGGGTAGTATAGTAAAAGACTTAAGGATGTACATGTTGCTTGGAATAGAATGGAAAATGTTATAGAGTGCTACGTAAATGTGTAAATATATTTATTCCAAGTATGAAAAAAAATTCTTGTTCGGATTATAAAATGAAGCAGATTGTGGGTGAGCAAAATGATCTTCTAGCCCAGGGGTCAGCGACCTGCGGCTCTGGAGCCGCATGTGGCTCTTTCACCCCTCTGCTGTGGCTCCCTCACTCAAAATATGCGTCACAACCGCCAATGTGTGACACCTACTGGCACACGATTTATTGAGCTTTTCAACCTCCGGTAGGCCAACCATGGATAAATCCAAGAAAAGAAAAGTTTCAGAAGAAAACAGAACATTTCATTCAACTACATATGTTAGTTTTATGGCCGCTCAAGAAATAGTCAGGCACAGGAAGGGTTTTGTGGCTCCCGGTGTTTTCTTTTCTGTGGGAAACAAGTACAAATGGCTCTTTGAGTGTTTAAGGTTGCAGACCCCTGTTCTAGCCAGACCTATCTACCTGGCAAAGATCAGGAATATATCTCACCAGAAACTTTGACATTTTGTAGTTGCTCAATCACCCAGGCTGCATCAGTGCTCTGTGCTTGCATTGTGTTCAAAACCTCTTTGCTATGCGTGGCAAAAGTGATGATGGCATAATTGGGGGAGACATCATAGCTGGAGATCTGCAAAGGGAAACCAGGAGACAAAAAGAAGCAAGACGTGTACCCCATTTGTCAACTAGGTTCATTAACATTCAGTCCCAAGGGCAGTATGGGAATGGCTTAAACATTTCAGCGCATAAAATCTCCCACCGCCAAGCATTTGCTAGTGTGGGAAGGTTTTTCATCCCCGGCCTCTCAACCTGGCTTACTCTTGCTGACATAGACTTACCAATATGGCAACCTTTGCAAAGTCCAAGACTACCCACTCTATGACTTCCACAAAAGTTTGGGGATACCCTATTCTAGAACTTCTGCAAATGCCCCATTCCAGAGCTTTGCAGAAGTTGACACATTGGTAGGGCACAGCAGGCCCAGAAGCTAACAATAAATAATGTTTTTCTTCTATCCAGTCCCTCAACCAGCTGAGGACCTCTTAAAGATATGGAGAGTTCAGTATAAATCTCTTTCATTTTACTGTTGTTACTTTTTTTTAAAAGATCAACTATGGATTACCAGGGGTTTAAAACATGTTGGTGATCACCTTTAAAGCGCTCCATGGCTTAGGGTCAGGGTACTTACGGGACCACCTTCTGCCACCAATTGCCTCCCACCGGCCAGTTCGCTCCCACAGAGAGGGCCTCCTCAGGGTGATGTCGGCCAGACAATGTCGGCTGGCGACCCCCAGGGGGAGAGCCTTCTCTGTGGTGGCACCTACCCTCTGGAACAATCTACCCCCAGAGATACGAGTGATCTCCGACCTCCGGACTTTTCGTCGGGCCCTAAAAACCTATTTTTTTCAGTTAGCCGGGCTGTCCTGATTTTATGGTTGGTTTTAAAATTTGATATGGATTTTAATTGAAATGTTTTAAATTATGGGCCAAATTTATTTAATTATTTTAAATCTATTTTTAACTTTTGTGTATAAATGTTTTTTATCTTGGCTGTTCACCGCCCTGAGTCCGAAAGGAGAAGGGCGGTATAGCAATCTGAAAAATAAAATAAATAAAAATAAAATAAATAAGGCAGGGGTCAGCAACCTGCGGCTCTGGAGCCACATGTGGCTCTTTCACCCCTCTGCTGCGGCTCCTGTCACTCAAAATATGCGTCACAACCACCAATGTGCAACACCCGCCAACATGCGATTTATTGAGCTTTTCAAGCCCTGGTAGACCAATCATGGATAAATCCAAGAAAAGTTTCAGAAGAAAACAGAACGTTTAATCCAACTACGTTAACAACGTTTAATCCAAATATGCTAGTTTTGTGGCCGCTCGAGAAATAGCCAGGCATGGGAAGGGTTTTGTGGCTCCCGGTATTTTCTTTTCTGTGGGAAACGGGTCCAAATGGCTCTTTGAGTGTTTAAGGTTGCAGACCCCTGGACTAAGGGAACCTCAAATAGAGAGTGAATCTTGCTACAATTGTTGGCAGTTGTCGTCAAAAAGAGTACTAAGGGTCCCTACAAGGAGGATCAAGGGTCTCTGGTGTCAGAAGAATAATTTGGGGTTCCAACATAGCCAGAGTTCTCTCTCTAGCACAGGGGTGTCATACTAATGGCCCTCAGGCCGGATGCGTCATGCACAAGCCACGCCCACCCCAGCTCCACGAATGGAAAACATGTTGTGAAACATCATGTGACATCGCGAGTTTGACACCCATCCTCTAGCACATGCAACTTCAACAGGCACCATATAAATCCCACACATGCAACAGCACACACTCTGCTAGAGAGAAATTCGCTGAAAGATGGACTCCAGCACAAGTCCGAAAGCTCTGAAGATAAAACCTCTGGTCCTGGTGATGATGAACCCAGATTTGATCCTGCAACATTATCCTAGGACACCTATATTTGCCTTCCTTCGTGTTCTTCTTATCATCTCAGTTGCTCTTCTTTGTACTCTTTCTAGAGTCTCAACTTCTTTTTTATATTGTGGCGGCCAAAACTGGGTGTAATATTTTAAGTGTGGTCTTACAGTATATTGGTCATCTTGTTCAAGAGATTAGGACTTACTCAAGAATTAGGACATTGTTTAGTTCCCCCTAGTTTATTTCTCATCTGGCTTTTCCTTTAAAAAGAATTTTGATGATGATGATAGTAATAATAATAATAATAATAATAATAATAATAATAATAATAATAATAATAATAATAATAATAATAATAATAATAATAATAATTCATAACACAGTCGCTCAGATGGTCTACTGGAACTTGTGTCACAGCTACCATCTGCCTGTAGCAAAGAACTGGTGGGATCATAAGCCTGAAAAAGTGGTCGAAAATTAGTATGCAAAACTATTGTGGGACTTCCGAATACAGACAGACAAAGTTTTGGAACACAATACCCCAGATATCACAATTGTGGAGAAGAAAAAGGTGTGGATCATCGACATTGCCATACCTGGTGACAGCAGAATCGACAAGAAACAACGTGAAAAAGTCACCAGATATCAGGACTTGAAAATAGAACTGCAGAGACTCTGGCATAAACCAGTGCAGGTGGTTCCAGGGGTACTCGGCACACTGGGTGCTGTGCCGAAAGACCTAGGCAAGCACTTAAAAACAATTGGCGCTGACAAGATCACCATTGGTCAGCTGCAGAAGGCCTCCTAACTGGGATCTGCTTGCATAATCCGCCAATACATCACACAGTCCTAAACGCTTGGGAAGTGTTTGACTAGTGATTTGGGATACGAAATCCAGCATGCTCATCTCGTTTGCTGTGTATACTGTCATCATCATCATCATCATCATCATCATCATCATATATGGGACTTTCGAATACAGATGGATCATCATTTGGAACCCAACACACCAGATATCACAGTTGTTGAAAAACCGAAGCATGCAATCTATTGATATTGCTGTACTAGGAGACGCCAGAGTCGAAGAAAAAGAACTGGAAAAAATTATGAAATATCATGACCTGGCCATAGAAACTACATGATTATGGATGAAACATGTGAAAGTGATACCCATTGTCATTGGGGCACTTGGTACCATGTTTATATAATACATCAAGAAATTGCAGCTTCCTGCAATAACACCAGCGGAACTGCAAAAAACTGCGCTACTCGGAACATCGTACATTTTTAGAAGTTACTTGATTGATATGTAGGATGCTGGCAGCAACCCGTATCAACCATCAGTGCCAGTCAGGGATATTTGTGATACATTTTTAAATGTTCAGTTGACTGAGTTTCATGTTTAATGAATAAAAGTTTATAATAATAATAATGTAACTGCCTTAGAATAACAGTTGGAAGGGAACTTGGAGGTTTTCTAGTTGAACCCCCTGCATAGGCAGGAAATCCTACATGACTTCAGACAAATGCCTTGGTGCAAAGCAGACTTCACTAAGCTTTAGCCTCATTTTTTGCTCGCTGGAAGGACCTTCAGCTTTACAAAGCTCCCACAACTTTACAATTCGTGGACTTTAACTCTCAGAATTCCTCAGCCAACATGGCTAGCTGAGGAATTCTGGGAATTGAAGTCCACAGCTTGTAAAGTTGCCAAGTTTGGAGACCCCTGCATGGGATGGTAGAGAATATTTTATGAAGCTAATGAGAATTTTATGTTGGGCCAGGCTCACAACAGCAACCATTTCTCAGTGGCTTTCCACATTTCCAGTATTCCCTTGATCTTAAAAGCGGTTTACTTCTGCCTTATAATTTCATCGTGCTTGCTGAGGAATTCTGCATCTTAAAGTCCATAGGTCTTAAAGAGGCGAAGTTTGATAAACCCTGGTTTATAACTAGTACCGGTTACTTCTTGGTACAAGGCTGAGCAAAGAAATTATCTGATTCTTCCTTACCTTCTCAATCAACTTGATTGTAGCATTTTGTGTACTGTTGAAATCCTCTTCATTAATACTTTTTGAGGCATCGAGTAGAAAGTAGATGTTCATTGTGCCTCCTTTCTTAATGACAATCTTTCGCTTCTGTGTAGAGGCTGGAGAGAGAGAAAGAACTAATATTCGTATCTTGTTTTCCCAGTTATGTGTAGTTTTGATATATTGGGCATTCTTTCAAGGGAATGAAGGAATTGCAACCTGATAGCACATGATCTCTCACTCATTCAATCAACTGCAATAGTTGAAATAAAGCCACATTTTTGTTTTGTTTTTAATGAACGAAGTTCAGCTGTATTGTATATATTGAATTATATTGTATATACTAAGTATATTGTATATACTGAAGAGCAACCAAGATGATTAGGGGACTGGAGGCTAAAACATATGAAGAATGGTTGCAGGAACTGGGCATGGCTAGTCTAGTGAAGAGAAGGACCAGGGGAGACACGATAGCAGTCTTCCAATATTTGAGGGGCTGCCAAAGAGAGGAGGGGGGTCAAGCTATTTTTGAAAGCACCTGAAGGCCAGACAAAGAATAATGGATGGAAACTGACCAAGGAGAGATTCAACCTAAAAATGAGGAGGAACTTTCTGACAGTGAGAACCATCAATCAATGGAATAGAAGTTGCTTTCGGAAGTTGTGGGAGCTTCATTACTGGAAGCTTTCAAGAAGAGACTGGACTGGCATCTGTCAGAAATATAGGGGTCTCCTGCTTGCGGGGGGGGGGTTGAACTAGATGACCTACAAGGTCTCTTCCAACTCTGTTAATCTGTATTATTGATTTTGCAGCCAAAATGGTATTGTCCATCTGAGGAGCCAAATCATTGGTCTGTGATGATGCTAAGATACATAAAAATGCAAGATTCTTTACAAAATACAGGGAGGGCCAAGTCTTTCCATATATACACAGGCACCTCAATGACCTAGTACGCTTAATGCACAGAAAATACTGGTTTAACATTGAAGGGGGAAACTACACACAAGGTGGTAGAGGCACTACTGAAACGAAATAACTTAGAATAAGGCACAGCTACCGCAACATACTGCTGCAAGTTTCATTAATGGAAATTATGACCAGGAGCTTTTCCCTTGATAACTAGGAACATCTCTGTATTTTGAGGTGAGATTCAGTCCAGAGCTGCAAGATGATTTTTAAATGTATTGTGAGCCGCCCTGAGTCTTCGGAGAGGGGCGGCATATAAATTTAATTAATTAAATTAAATTAAATTCAGAAGAAGGTAGCAGATAGATATGTCTATGAGTAACAGCAGCTGTCAATCTAACAGACATCCACAGAGAGACAATGGGGTCTATATAGTGGTAGACTCATGCCCAAGGGTATTATGGGAAGAATCTTCCACCTTGGAAGTATCCCTGAGATATGCTTCGATTTTTCCTCAACTAATGATCTGCTTGAATATTTAGAAAAATATTGTGCAATGTCTTAGTTGTGATGTTTTTAACAATTCTCTCATAGAAGAGAATCTTTGTAACTCAGGGTTGAGCTCAGTGGTGAAATCTAAAATTTGTTACTACCGGTTCTGTGGGCGTGGCTTGGGGAGGGTAATGTGACTGGGTGGGCGTGGCCTTTTTTTTTTTTTTTACTTTTAAAACCATTTTAACCTCAACCTCTTTGGTTGTAAAAAAATGCTTTCAAAAGGCTCTGACAATCCCAGCTGAGTTGCCTGATTGGCAGAGGCTTTTTAAAAAACTCAGCTGGGATCGTCAGAAGCATTTAAAAGAAAAAAAAAGTTTTTTTCTTTTAAAATCCTTTGACGATCACAGCTGAGTCGCGCGATCATCAGAGGCTTTTTTTTTCTTTTAAAAGCATTTTTTCCACTGAAGAGGTTGTAGAAAAAATGCTTTTAAAAGTAAAAAAAAAGCCTCTGATGATTGTGCGGCTCAGCTGGGCATGGGGGGGGGGTGCAGGGATTTTTGCTACTGGTTCTCTGAACCACCCGCCTCCATCGCTACTGGATTGGGCGATCCGGTCCAAATCGGGAGCATTTCACCCCTGGTTGAGCTATAGCAGAGGCAGTGATGGGTTCCAACCGGTGTTACCACCGGTTCTCTTCACACACACGCTTTGTGCGCTCTGCGCAAGCGCATTTGGTTTCTGCCCAGCTGAGGTGCGGCAATCCACTCTGCCGCGCCTATCAGTTGGGCTAAAAACCAAGAAATAAAGGTAGGAATAAAACGGGGGTGAGCGGGAGGGCCCAGGTCCCAGTCACAGAGAACCGGTTCGGTGATGTCACATCGTCACCACTACTGGCTCAGCCGAACCGGGCCGAATCGGGAGCAACCCACCACTGAGCAGAGGTCTTCAAACTTGGCAGCTTTAAGACTTGTGGACTTCAACTCCCAGAATTCTCCAGCCAACTATGCTGAGTTGAAGTCCACAAGTCTTAAAGCTGCCAAGTTTGAAGACCTCTGAGCTATAGAGTCCTTGGTCCTTTCTAAGCTTGGTTGTTAGCTTGTAGACATTTCATTTACCCAACCACATAACATCATCAGTGTTGGTGAGTTCTGTTAGTTAACTTTCTTGAAAGGAAAGAAGAGTGATTGTTGTTGTTGTTTTTTAAAAAAAACCCTCGGTGTTCTTTTTTCCAATATTGAAATGAGATTCCATTAAATTGCCGTAGAATAGGGGTCTGCAACCTTAAGCACTCAAAGAGCCATTTGGACCCGTTTCCCACAGAAAAGAAAACACCAAGAGCCACAAAACCTGGGTGGGTGTGGCCAACTCAATGTCACTCACTTCCACCAGTCACATGACCCCCCTCCCCCAGCCACACCTACCCAGCCGGTCATTAGGGCAGAGAACCAGTTAAAAACACCGGGAACCACAAAAACCTTTTGACATATATCTCTCTCCCCTCCCTTCCCTCTCTCTCTCCCTCTTTCTCTGTATCTCTCTGTCTCTGCCCTGGCCGCTTCTCCATCCCCCGCCATCACCCTTACCTTCTCAGGCCAGGCGAGGAGTGACTGGGAGAGGAGGGTGAGGGGTGGGGCCGACCAGTGGTGGGATCACCCGACAGGGAGCCACAGCAGAGGGCCCAAAGAGCCGCATCTGGCTCCGGAGCCGCAGGTTGCTGACCCTACTCAGAGAAATTGAGAGGATCTAACAATATTAATTGTGGTCTCTCTCTTGTTATGCTAGGAAGTGAATTATAATTATCCAAGCCTGTTCCGTTTACAAAGACTTACAGATATTTCTACTGGCATCTGCGGCTTCAGCAGTTTCAGTCAAAGATGAGATGAAATTGTTGGCAACTTCTTCTGGGGTGTCAAAAGTATATGGCTCTGGGAAGGAACAAGAGGAGGCTCAATTAGTAACAGATTATAAAAGAGAATGCCCCAAAATAAATAGAACTAATTTTTATGCAAAACAGGATTGAAATAATAAGAAGGGAAGTTGCACATTTTGTTGCTCTGGGACCCTTTGGGATAAACATATAAGATTCTTTAGTGCAGGGGTCTCCAACCTTGGCAACTTTAAGCTGGCGGACTTCAACTCCCAGAATTCCGCAGCCAGCAAGGGAGTTGCTGGGAGTTGAAGTCTGCTAGGCTTAAGGATTCACATTTTCAGCCCCAGGATTCACATTTTCAATATTTAACTCAGTGGTGAAATGCAGCCGGTTCTATCCGGCTCAGGCGAACCAGTAGCGCTGGAGGCTCCGCCCACCTACCCGGACGTCATCACATCACGTTTTTGAATCTCTGTGCATACACAGAAGGTCCTGCATATGCACAGAGGTGTAACACGCAAGCGTGAAGCAAGCGCGCACACACGGGTACTCCATTGAACCTGATTTAACCCCCCCTATTCATCCCATCAGGCATTCTTTCCCCTCTGCTCACGCCGACACTCTGGTTCTGATCCACTCCAGCTTCCTGATTCTTGGCAAATCCGTTCACTGGATCCAAAAAGGATGAGACCACGCTCACAAGTGTAGCGGACCCGATATTCTATCCGATATTGGTTTCCTTCTTTTCGAGCACCAATTGGAATCCCGGGGTTAGAGCAATGGCCAGCTAAAGTAGGAGAAGAAAGGACACCATGAATTAAATAGTCATTTTTGAATTAAAAGCATTTGCTAGACCAATTCTCGAATACAGCTCATCTGTCTAGAACCCGCACTGCATATTGGATATTAACACAATTGAGTGTGTCCAGAAATATTTCACAAAAAGAGTCCTCCACTCCTCCGTTCGCAACAAAATACCTTATGCCACCAGACTTGAAATTCTGGGTTTAGACAATTTAGAACTACGCTGCTTTTGGTCTGACCTAAGCATAGTACACAAAATTATCTGCTACAATGTCCTACCTGTCAATGACTACTTCAGCTTCAACCATAACAACACATGAGCACACAACAGATACAAACTTAAAGTGAACCGCTCCAAACTCAATTGCAGAAAATATAACTTCAACAACAGAGTGGTCAATGTCTGGAATGCACTGCCTGACTCTGAGGTTTCATCCCAAAACTCCCAAAATTTTAACCTGTCTACTGTTCAGCTCATCTCATTCTTAAGAGGTCTGTAACAGTGGTGGGTTGCTCATCTCTTGGATGAGAAGCAAAACGTCTTCAAAGAAAAACTAGAAAGTCCATTTGCTTCTTGAAAAAGCACCGTTGGGACATGTAAATGAAATGTTGATGCTTGTAGTGGCCCGTCAGCGGCCTGTGCAGTTAGTAGCTGATTCCGACAGCGAGGAGGCTGGTGTGATGTTGCACCAGCAGCCTGTGCAGCTGGCATTCGAGTCAGACAATGAGGAGGCTGGAGAAGATGTGGTGCCAGAGGTGGGGATTCAGCCAGGGCCTTCAGAACCTCCAGAAGCTCCCATAAGTGAAGAGGAAGAAGAGGAGGAGCCTCTTTTTGATGCACGAGCGTGCAGAGCTGTTAAAAGGCAGGAGTGGCTCCTCAGGAGTAATGCTTGGGGCTAATTGGCCACTCCCCTAGCCTACTTAAGGAAGGACGATGGCTGATGCAATTTGCAGGGAACAACTTCGTTCATATTCCTTCGCGTCTTAATTCCAGAAATGTTTGATTTGGCTCTTGTTTCTCTCTTGTCAGTTTTCCTGCAAATTGCTTCTGGGCATTCTGCCAGCCACAGTAAGATTACGGTTATCTGAAATACTGTGCCTCAGAATTAAGTTATTATTCTTTGGATTCTTGTCGGCTGTTAATGACGTTAAATTAACAGCCCTTGTTCAAAAAAGACTGATTTAAAATTGTACTTGTGTTCGAACAACTACTAAAAAAGCTTATTAGTAGTCCTTAATTAGTAAACTAAGGTTTGTACGGACTTTGTGTGTGCTGCGTTCTTTGGGGTCCGTAGCTGGGGCAGAACAATGCTACATTTCCACGCTGAATACAACCAGGTTTTTCTATAGGAGCATCACACAGGAGTCCTGCACAAGAGCTTGCAAGTTTCGAGGGAATTGACCCTGCATGATGTCCGGATGTGCCGTTGTGTGGAAACGAGGCATCAGCATTGGTGGCTGGTAGTCTATATTGGCTAATGGCAGATGTGTCTATTGATAGCTGAGTATAGATGATGGCGCACTAAAAACTGATGTTGTGTTTTCGAAGACAGAAAAGGAAGTCTGAAGTGAGAACGGTGATAGGACTTGCATGTAATTAATTTCCATACTCACTTCCATCGTGACAAATGGTTGTTTTTCCACTCCATTTCCCATTGGGAAGGCAGGTGCGGACTTCAGACCCCTCCATGCTGTATCCTCCATAGCAAGAAAACGTGATATTATCGTTTATATTGTAATATGACTGTGGAGGCTCATAGTAACCATTTTCAAATTCTGAAATTCTGGGGCAACGAATATCTGAAAAGAATAATAAATGATCAGTAAGCGGGATTGAGTACCTCACGATTATATTCTCTACCTCAACAAATTAATCCTCCCCTCTCCTTCTTGAGCTATTTCAGTATTCAACATATGAAATTGTGCAGAGGATAGTGGTGGGTTTCAATTTTTTTTACTACCAGTTCTGTGGGTGTGGTTTGGTGGGCGTGGCATGGGAAAGATACTGCAAAATCTCCATTCCTACCCCACTCCAGGGGAAGGATACTGTAAAATCTCCATTCCCTCCCCAATCCAGGGGGAGCTTACTGCAAAATCCCCATTTCCTCCTGATCAGCTGGGACGTGGGAGGTAGAGAATAGATGGGGGCAGGGCCAGTCAGAATTTTTACTACCGGTTCTCTGAACTACTCAAAATTTCCGCTACCGGTTCTCCGAACTGCTCAAAATTTCTGCTACCGGTTCTCCAGAACCTGTCAGAACCTGCTGGATTTCACCCCTGCCACTATTTCTTTCAATTCTGGGGCACCAACCCCTTTCTGAAAGAGGTGTTCGCTCCAAGCTGTGTTGAGAAATAGCCCTGACAGATAACAAATGAAAAACATCTCTCTGGCTGTAACATTACCAGAGGCATCTTGACGCACAACCAAGCAGCCACTTATATTCACTTATCGCAACCCACTTGCTAAAGAGAGTCACTGGTGATGCTTTTCAAAGGACCAACACATGTTCTGACCTCATTGTGGAGGTAGAATTGGGTAGGCAATAAGGACCGTCCAATTTATATATCTAGCATTTTCTCTGATGTCAAACACCGTTCAACGAGGAAGAGAGACTTCTAAAATAAAAAGTTACCATTTTTTGATAGTAAAATCGTTAAGTCTGATCTTTGGAGTAAATGCTAAGCATCTCTGGTAGCTGAAGACATGCAGGAAGGTTTCAGCTCCAGCATCGCTTAGCTTCACACATTTGGATGCCAGCAAAGCTATGGGTCTCCCCATGAAATCAAAAGGAGCCTGGATAGCTCAGCAGACTAATGCATTATAATTAACATCCAGCTGTCTGCAATTACTGTAAGTTCGAATCTCGCCAGGCTCAAGGTTGACTCAGCCTTCCATCCTTTCTAAGGTAGGTAAAATGAGGACCCAGATTGTGGGGGCAATAAGCTGACTTTGTATAAATATACAAAAGTATGAAGGCTATTGCTTAACGCATTGTAAGCCGCCCTGAGTCTCTGGAGAAGGGTGGCATATAAATCAATTTTTTTTAAAAAAGGGAGGGGCCTGTTATGTACAGATTGGCTAGAATCTATATAACATTTCATGCTCGCCACGGATTGGCTGTCCGGACCGTGGGAGATTTAACCTGCTGTCATTGGCCGGCTGGTCTGCCTGGGGCGCCTTAAACGGCAAGCTCCGGCAGCCCAGTCGGCAGAGCGCAGTTGCATTTTGCTGGAAATAAAAAGGTGCTGAATTCACTAACGAGTCTCGCCTGCTGCCTTGCGCCGATCTAACAGGGCCCCAAAACTATGAGCTCCAGGAGAAGACATTCCCCTCAGGGTGTTATTGCTTTGATGGCCAGCTGAAAGGCAGACTTTCTTTTCTAAATTTAGAAATTAATTATACCTTGGCACCTGGCCCGGGAGACGTTGACATCATATATATTTTTCATAGTTTTCCACTTGTTCAATTCGCATGTCCGGAAGTCAGTAGGGTATGGGTATTGGCCATCTGGGCATGTATACCTAAGCACCATGTTGTTCTGCAATGCTACTGTTTGGCCTCCTACAATTTCGTCTGCCTTCGTCACCTCACAGCCAGCATCCGCGACATCTGATGGGAAGAAACACAAGAGAACATTAAAAGGAGCCCAGTGATAACCTGTTTCCTAAGTCAGCCTTTCCCAACCTTGCCAACTTTCAATCAATCAGAATAGAGCTGGAAGGGACCTTGGAGGTCTTCTAGTCCAACCCCCTGCTCAAAGCAGAAGCCCCTATACCAGGGATGGCTAACCTTTTTTCCCTCAGGTGCCAAAAGTGTGTGCGCGCTATTGTGCCCCGACCCATATTGCAATGCCCCTTCCGTGTGCCCCGCCCACCTGCACATGTGTGCGACCCCCCCCGCATGAGCACGTGACCCCCCCACATTTGCACGCAACCCCCCTTCCTCCGCTACCCCCTGGGAGTGGGGGAAGCCTTTGCCTCCCAAAACGGCTGAGGGGGAGAAGCCTTTTTTTTTTTTTTTATTTGATTTATATGCCGCCCTTCTCCGGAGACTCAGGGCGGCTTACAATGTGTTAAGCAATAGCCTTCATCCTTTTGTATATTTATACAAAGTCAGCTTATTGCCCCCACAAACTGGGTCCTCAATTTACCTATCTTAGAAAGGATGGAAGGCTGAGTCAACCTTGAGCCTGGTGAGATTTGAACTTACAGTAATTGCAGACAGCTGGTGTTAATCACAATCCTATCAGTCTGCTGAGCCACCAGGCCCTTTGCCTCCCAAAATGGCTGGGAGGGGGTGGAAAAAGTCTTTGCCTCCCAAAACAGCTGAGGGCGGGGAGGGGAAGCGTTTGCCTCTCAAAACGACTGGGGGGGGGAAGCCTCCAAAAGAGGCCTCCCCCCCCCAGTCGTTTTGAAGAGAGCCTTAAAAAGAGCCTTGGTGGCACAGCAGACTAAACTGCTGTTAAATAGCATTTAGCTGCCAGTTGCCTGCAATTACTGCAAGTTCAAATCTCACCAGGCTCAAGGTTGACTCAGCCTTCCATCCTTCCGAGGTAGGTAAAATGAGGACCCGGTTTGTGGGGGCAATAAGCTGACTTTGTATAAAAAAGAACACCGCTTAGGAGGGGCCAAAAGCCCTACTAAGCAGGTATATACAAAAGTATGAAGGCTATTGCTTAATGCATTGTAAGCCGCCCTGAGTCTCCGGAGAAGGGCGGCATATAAATCAAACTAATAAATAAATAAATAAAACGGCTGGGAGGGGGGCAGAAAAAGTCTTTGCCTCCCAAAACAGCGCTGAGAAGGGAATCTCTGGAGATCTGGGAAGGCACAGGCAGCCTATACCATATCAGACAAATGGCTGTCCAATTTCTTCTTAAAAACTTCCAGTGTCAGAGGCTCAACCAATCTCATTGCGATTTTGGAAAAAGTTCAGAGAAGAGCAACAAAGATGATCAAAGGCCTGGAGACTAAAGCATACGAAGAACATGGGTCTGGCTAGTCTAAAGAGAAGAAGAATCAGGCGTGACATGAGAGCAATATTCCAGTATTTTAAGGGTTGCCACAAAGAAGAGGGGGTCAAATTATTTTCCAAAGCACCAGAGGACAGGATAAGAAACAATGGTTGGAAACTAATCGAAGAGAGAAGCAACCTGGAATTAAGGAGAAACACCCTAATGGTGAGGACAATTAACCAGTGGAACAGCTTGCCTCCAGAAATCGTGAACGCTCCATCACTGGAGGTTTTTAACAAGAGACTAGACAGTCACTTATCTGAAATGGTATAGGGTCTCCTGCTTGAGCAGGGGGTTGGACTAGAAGACCTCCAAGGTCCCTTCCAACTCTGTTATTCTGTTCTGTTCTGTTCTGTTCTGTTCCGTTCCGTTCCGTTCCGTTCCATTCCATTCCATTCCATTCCATTCCATTGGTAAGTCGTTCCACTAATGGTTCTGACAGTCAGGAAATTTCTGTTTATTTCTACCTTGGTTCTCTCCGTGGTTAGCTTGGGTCAAATATAGGTTCTAAAGGCGAACAGGATTGAATGGGAATTCTGCATAGGATTAGAATTCCAAACAGGGGAGAAGAAGAAGGAGCTAACGACAGAAGAGGGTGTCCATAAAAACAGAACAATAGAATTATAGAATTGGAAGGGATCATCAGGAAATTTCTCCTTAGTTCTAGGTTGCTTTTCTCTTCGATTAGTTTCCAGCAAAATTCAGGATCTTGGCAACGGGCACATAATTACAAGGATTGTATATCCTGGGGTCACATGATCACCATTTCTTTCTTTCTCATCTGGATTCCAACAAGCAAGTCAATGGGAGAAGCCAGATTCACTTAACAGCCATACGGTTGATTTAACAGCCAGTGAGTTGCTTAATCACCATGTGTTGTGGCCCGTCAGCGGCCTGTGCAGCTAGTAGCTGATTCCGACAGCGAGGAGGCTGGTATGGTGCTGCGCCAGCAGCCTGTGCAGCTGGCACTTGAGTCGGACAATGAGGAGGTTGGAGAATATGTGGTGCCAGAGGTGGGGATTCAGCCAGGGCCTTCAGAACCTCCAGAAGCTCCCTTAAGTGAAGAGGACGAAGAGGAGGAGCCTCTTCTCGATGCACAGGCACGCAGAGCTGCCAAAAGGCAGGACTGGCTCCTCAGGAGGAGGTCTCCTCGAGAGTAAAGCTTGGGGCTAATTGGCCATTCCCTTAGCCTATTTAAGGAGGAATGCCAACTGAAGCAATTCGCAAGGAACAACTTAGTTCACATACCTTCCTGTCTAGTCTTGCTTATCTTATCAGCTTCCTGCAAATTGCTTCTGGGCATTCTGCCAACCATAGTAAGCTTTCAGTTATTATTCTTTGAATTCTTGGCGGCTGTTAATGCCACCCAGTTCTTGCAACTGTTTTTCAAATGTTTTTGTTTCTAGGCCCTTAATCGCCTTAGTTGCTCTTCTTTGCACTTTTTCCAAAGTCTCAACATCTTTTTTGTAATGTGGTGACCAAAATTGGACACAGTATTTAACTTAAGATGTGTCGACTGAAGTTAAAGTTGACAGGGTTGACAAACACTATTCTACATCCTGAATAGCAACCTATAGGTTATATGATGCTTAATCTTGATTTTGCTGACTGCAAGTCAGTCTTGACTCCCAGCAACTACGTGTCCCTGTGGTTTTCTTGGCAATGTTTTTCAGAAGTGATTTGCCTTAGCACTGGAGAAGGGACTAGCCCCAAAGCCTCCCATTCTGGCTTCAGGCCTAAGGCAGGACCACAGTGGAAAGGATGCATATTTGTGTTTACCAACAAACTGGACAGGAACATGTAACAAATCAGGTGTGGTCAGAGAAATTGCCAAGGAATTGCAGGATAGGGCTTCCAAGATAGGTCAGAGGTTATAAACAACTGACATGTGGTTTTCTTGGTTGCCTGGATCCGGGTGGATTAATATGGCTGTGGCAGGCCGAGCTTTTATTCCTTGTGCAAGGAATAGATGCTGAAACATCTATCAATAAGAGTAGTAAAGGAGATTCAAGTTGAAAAGGAACTAGCTTTGACAGAACATTTTCTTAATCAACTTGGTCCCTATCCTGTGGAAGAACATAAAGATTCTGAGGCAGACCCATATGAGGAAATGGAACCTGTAGAAAGAGGTAGAGAATCTCCCCAAGAATCAAGAGAGTAGAAAAACAATCAAGAACTACCTATCCTTTACTTTTATTAATTATCTTTTGTTAGACCCTATATATGGTAGATTTGTTTATTGAAACCTTGTATACTCAGAAGTTAAACTTATATGAGAATAGTGAAAGTTTCTGCATTGAAAAACTTTCAGAGGGGGGAATAATGTAAATGAAGCGGGCTCTGATAGATAACCACTGGATAACTTTCTATTCACTCTATTCTAAAAAGCAATGCATCCGGTTGGAAAAAGTACAAACTCAGCCAAAATCCTTTTGGTTCCTCTAGGAGGCCTCTAAGTTGTCAGAGGAAAGGAACATTCTAATGACATACAGCTTAAAGGTTGGTTAGGTCAAGGGGATCCACATGAGTTAAAAGTTGTCTATCGTCAGAAGATGATTTGAGTCTATGCTTCAGTAATCTACAAAAAGAATTATAACTGTTTTGCAAAGAAACTCAGTAATTAGGAAATGTCAATTAAAAATGACAAATGTATATGACCATATGAATTGCTGAGTTAACAGAATCCTTTGTCTAGAAGGGTATAAAACCATTGTACCTAATTTCTGTCTTTGTTCAACGCTTCATGTACAGAGCCTTGAACCTATTGCGCAATATACAAATTGTCTCTGATTAATCGAAAAGTTGTGTTTGTCTTATTAAATCTACAACAACAGCCTATGCAGCTAATCCTTCACTTTCAACCACAATTGAGCCCAAAGTTTTTGTTGCTAAGTGAGACAGTTGTTAAGCAAGTTTTATAGGTGAGTTTTGTCCCATTTCTTTCTTGTTCAATGAATCACTGCAGCTATATTAGCAACGTGGTTCTAATTGTCTCAAAGGTGCTTTTTCAAAAGGCAAATGGACTTTAGACAGAGATAGATAGATCCAGTGGTGCGATTCAAGTAATTTAACAACCGGTTCTCTGCCCTAATGATTTCTTCCAACAACCAGTTTGCTAAACTGCTCAGAAAGTTAACAACCGGTTCTCCCGAAGTGGTGTGAACTGGCTGAATCCCACCACTGGATAGATGATTAATAGATAGATGATAGCTAGATAGCTAGATGGATGGATGATAGATAGATAGATAGATAACTAGGTTGGTAGGTAGGTAGGTTGGTAGGTAGGTAGGTAGATTGATTGATTTAAAAATCAGCTTCCTTCCTTTTGGGTCACTGGGGTGGGGGAAAGTTCCCTAAGGCAATGTTTCTCAGCCATTTTATGACATATGGACTTCAACTCCCAGAATTCCCCAGCTGAGGATTTCTGGGAGTTGAAGTTCATATGTCTTAAAATGGCTAAGGTTGAGAAACACTGACCTAAGTTTTGAACCTCAGGAATGCTATATAGATGGCATCAGGCACCTAGTTGATAATTGCTGGCTTTCCACTTTAACGATAGATTTCCAAGTATCTGTAATAAACCTAGCTTATCAAA